ACGGATGGAGGAAAGGGAAAGGAATAGAGGAAACCAGGCCTGGGGAGCACAGGTCCTCTGTGCGTGTCCAGGTCTCGCTCCTACGTGATGGCAGCAGGGTGATCAGAGATGGATCTCATCCCATGTTCACTGCTTCAGCCCCTCCTGTGCGAAGAAGCTTGAGACGTTCCGTGGAGCATCTTTGTTTCCAGCACCACACGATAGAAAACGGCCGCGCGGATGTTGGAGGCTTGCTTGGGGGGATGCAAAGCTCCCGCTCTCTGCTCTGATCTCGGCTCATTTGCTGCAGAGGTGGCTATTTTTGCTGATCTGACATCAGGTTCACAGCAGCCTGTCCAACCAACCCTTGTGCAATCCCCCTTTGTGAGTAAGGAGCAGACTTTCCATGCCTGATTTAGCCAACTTTTTAAACTACCCAGGACTAAAATACATGATGGGTGAGATGATGAAGCTCATATTTGGTGCTGATCCCTCTGCAGTGCCCTGGAGAACACCTCCTGTCTCAGAACGTTTCCTATTGCCATGTGAGATAAAACAAATGGCGCGGCCCTGGAGAGCAGCATGCTTCAAGAAATAAGTGTAACCTCATCTTACTGTAATTTATTACATCTTGGAAAGCTTGAAACTCCAGCATTAAGCATGAGGCATGAATTTCCAATTCCTTTCAAGCTTCTCCCATAGAAATGTTTACTATAAAGCGATTTTATGGTGGAATAATTTTTCTTTTATTCCTCCACTTCTCTGTGTTTAATCCCATGCAACAAAGCCGGCAGTAATTACATGAGCAATCCTACCTTTTCCTCACACCTTCCTTCTGAAGGTGTCAAAGGACATTATACATCAAATGTGCTCTCATCCCTGGCATGGCAAATGGGCATAACGAAGCCTCTTCCCTTTGCAGGGCGAGCAAGGGCAAGGAAGGTACCGTGGCCACTCAAAGCCACAGCAAGTCAGGATTTGAACTGGAAACTGGATCCACATGGATTGTATTCATGTGTCCCCTCAGCACCCCTAAACACAGACCATGTCTGTGCATATGCAGTTCCCGCATTTAAGCATTTAACTCTAACGCCTGGCTCAGTATGGTTCAGTACTTGAAGCTATGGAGAAAAAACATGACCCAGAAAGATGCCAGGATGTCCTGATTTGCAGAGACGTGGGCTCCTGGGGGAGGCCAGAGCTGGCTCTGGAAGTGTGCCCAAAGCCTGCCGCAGTCAGGGAGCAGGGCAGGGAGGAGGACTCCAGTCCCTGCAGGAAGCAAAGGTGCCAAATAATCAAGGAACGAGGGTTGCTTGGCTTCTGTGCAGGTGCTGGTAGGGACATGGGACAGAACAAACAGCGGTTGGTGTCGGTTGCGTGTTCTCCCTGTGCAGAAGTTCGTTCTGCCCAGCAATGTTCAAACCGGAGCGGGGATGGAGGCACACATCCCCCAGCATGGAGATGAGCTTTCCAATTCAGGCTACCAGTAGTAAGGCCTCTAAATTAGAAACAAATGGAACATTTCTTCCAAAATTGTCCACATTGTTTTAAAAATCTCAAGCATTGCTTTAAGCTCAAGCTGTTCTTATTTACCTGCTTGAGTTCCAGCTCTGGAAACACCCATGGGACATGCTTTGCTTTAAGCACATGCATGCCCTAGTAGCAACGGTATCATTAACCTTCTGTTTAAAGGCAGGGAAACAATTTTAGGATTAGGGTCCAGCTGAGTTTCTACTTCCAATAAAAATCCTTTGTGAAAGACTTTTCTTTCAGCTCTTTCCAGTCTCTGCTCTTTCTGCTTTCCCTGGGGAAGAGGGAAATATCATCTTTCCTTCTATGGGTTAAAGCCATTGAGTGGATTTGGGGAATTCCTTCCTATAACAGCAGCCTGGATAAAAATAATTGTGTGATAAAAATACTAACTCAGTGTTATAACCCTGACACACTCCCCATGGCATCTGCAGGATCCTCAAAGATTTTCCATGGAAATCATTTTCTAAAAGAAACTAAACTCTCAAACAGCTCCTATCTAGAATAACGTTTGCTGTGCAGTGTTTCTCTCTTTATTTTAAAGGATCCTGTATGGCTAAAAGTGGGATTTCTATGACTGCAGCCTGAAGGATGTGGAGGTGCTGCCCCGGAGCGTGAGGGTGTCGAGGCATGGGTGCTGAACCACCCTGAGGGCTCACCGCCCCAAGGGTGACTGTAACTGCTGCACGATGCTGATCCCGGGGCAGAGCCCTCACCCGTTCTGTGAGCGCTGGTGGAAACCTGGTGGCTGAGCAAGGGAAACTGAGCAGCCCCGGAGATGCTGCATGCCGGGTGCCTGCACCCCAAAGCCTCGGTGCTGGCCTCGCTCTGCTCCCCGGGAGTGGCCGTCCTTGCAAAGCAAAAACCGGGCGGGAGTAACCAGTTCAGCCTCTGGCTTTTCATCTCCCTCTGCCCGTCAACACCCCGGGTTTTCGGTGAAACAGGATGTGCGAGGCCTCCCACTGACATGGTAATTGAGAGGGAGGCTTGCATAGAAATCCAAGCGCCAGGAGTTGCGCATGAGCTGATCTGGGTGTGGAGATGAGCAAGGTGACCCAAGGGTTCCCAGCTCCATGCTGGGAGCCTGGCTCCCCACCTCATCGCCTCCCTTTTTGAACCAAGCAAAGTGGTATTGGAATGGCAGGTGCTGCTTTGAAACACTTCCATTTGTGCAGGTAGTCCATAAAAGCAGAGGGGAAATGGGAGACATCCTTGTTTCCATCCCCAGCCCTTCCTGGGATCCCCCGACACAGCTGCGCCCCATGCCATGCTTGATGCTCCTCCTGCCGCTTCTCTCTGCTCCTCACCCCGCTCTCAGTCCTGTTCAGAAGGATCTGCGGCAAATTCCTTCCACTGAAATAACCCTCCTGAGCCCCTTGCATTTGGTCTGGGTGGAGGAATGAAACCCACAGCGATGGGAACCCTTGATGCTCTCAGCTACTGCTCACGCGTGGGGCTGGAGGGAGCAGGGTGTGCCCATTCCCTGGAGGCTGGATGCACCATTGACCCTTGTCCTGTCACTGAGCACCAAGAGCCTGGCCCCATCCTCTTGGCACCCACCTTTGTGATACTGCTCTGCATTGATGAGGTCTCCTCTCCAGATAAACCGGGCCCAGCTTCTGCTACCTCTTGTCATAGGAGAGATGCACCAGAACCCTGATCGTCTTTGTGGCCTCCTCTGGACCCTCTCCAGCAGCTCCTTGTCTTTCTTGTCCTGAGGAGCTAGCACTGGACACAGTGCTCCAGACGTGGCCTCAGCAGAGTCAGTGGAGGGGGAGCATCCCTCCCTCAACCCCAGGCGGTGGCAGTGATGGAGGGCACAGGCCAGCACCCCCTGAGGGTGTGTAACCCACACCCGATCGGTGTGAATTCTCCAAAGTCCTCAGGGATGCTGCGAATGGATGTTCCTGCCTGCCCGTCTCATCCAGAAACCCTGCTGGCACACGGGCGAGGGCTGCCGGAGCCTGGGGATGGGGTGCAAGGAAGGAGAAAGTGCTGTGGGAGCTGTGGGGATCTGTGGGTGCTGTGGGATCTGTGGGTGCTGTGGGAGCTGTGGGTGCTATGGGAGCTGTGGGTGCTGTGGGTGGTGTGGGAGCCAGAGGGTGCTGTGGAAGCTGTGGGGGCTGTGGATGCTGTGGGAGGTGTGGGTGCTGTTGGTGCTGTAAGGGGCTCTGGGTACTGTGGGTGCTGTGGCAGCTGTGGGTGCTGTAAGGTGCTGTAAGGGGCTCTGGGTACTGCGGGTGCTGTGGGAGCTGTACGGAGCTGTGGGTGCTGTAGGGAGCTGTGGGTGCCATGGGAGCTGTGGGGGTTGTAGGGAGCTGTGGGTGCAGTGGGTACTGTGGGAGCTGTGGGTGCTGTAGGGAGTTATAGGGGCTGTGGGGGTTGTAGGGAGTGTGGGTACTGTAGGTGTTGTGGGTGCTGTGGGGGGTTGTAGGGAGCTGTGGGTTCTGTAGGGAGCTGTGGGTGCTGTGGGGGTTGTAGGGAGCTGTGGGTTCTGTAGGGGGCTGTGGGTGCTGTGGGGGGTTGTAGGGAGCTGTGGGTGCTGTGGGGGGTTGTAGGGAGCTGGGGTTGTAGGGAGCTGTGGGTGCTGTAGGGAGCTGTGGGTGCTGTGGGGGTTGTAGGGAGCTGTGGGTGCTGTAGGGAGCTGTGGGTGCTGTGGGGGTTGTAGGGAGCTGTGGGTGCTGTAGGGAGCTGTGGGTTCTGTAGGGGGTTGTGGGTGCTGTGGGGGGTTGTAGGGAGCTGTGGGTTCTGTAGGGAGCTGTGGGTGCTGTGGGGGGCTGTGGGTGCTGTGGGGGGCTGTGGGTGCTGTGGGGGGTTGTAGGGAGCTGTGGGTTCTGTAGGGAGCTGTGGGTTCTGTGGGTGCTGGGGGGGTTTTAGGGAGCTGTGGGTTCTGTAGGGGGCTGTGGGTGCTGTGGGGGGTTGTAGGGAGCTGTGGGTGCTGTGGGGGGTTGTAGGGAGCTGTGGGTACTGTAGGGAGCTGTGGGTTCTGTAGGGGGTTGTGGGTGCTGTGGGGGGATGTAGGGAGCTGTGGGTTCTGTAGGGAGCTGTGGGTGCTGTGGGGAGCTGTGGGTGCTGTGGGGGTTGTAGGGAGCTGTGGGTTCTGTAGGGGGTTGTGGGTGCTGTGGGGGGTTGTAGGGAGCTGTGGGTTCTGTAGGGAGCTGTGGGTGCTGTGGGGGGCTGTGGGTGCTGTGGGGGGTTGTAGGGAGCTGTGGGTTCTGTAGGGAGCTGTGGGTGCTGTGGGGGGTTGTAGGGAGCTGTGGGTTCTGTAGGGAGCTGTGGGTGCTGTGGGGGACAGTGGGTGCTGTGGGGGGCTGTGGGTGCTGTGGGGGGTTGTAGGGAGCTGTGGGTACTGTAGGGAGCTGTGGGTGCTGTGGGGGGTTGTAGGGAGCTGTGGGTGCTGTAGGGAGCTGTGGGTGCTGTGGGAGCTGCGGGCGCTGCGGGGCGGCTCTCGGGCAGGAGCAGGCGGTGCGGGCTGGCTGTCACTGACCAACCGGGCAATGACCGCTGCGAGCGGCTCCCGCGGCCGCGCCGGAGCTCCCGGGAGTGCGGACCCGGGTCCAGGCGCTTCGCGCTGCGCCGCCATCCGCCCGGCGCCCCCACCTCAGCCGAGCGTGAGCGGCCCGCAGCGGGGCCCGGGGCCGGGATTCCCGTTACCGCTCACGTCGGCGGAGACCCGAAAACCTCTTTTATTGCCCCAAAACCCCGCCGCGGGGGGGGAGGGGGCTGTGGGTGGGTGAGGGGACGCGCGCGGCCGCCTCCCCCTGCACCACCGCGCGCGCCGCCCGCTGCAGAGCCGGGACCGCGCCGCGCCCCCCCCAGGCGTGCTGCAGCGCGGGGCGGGGCCCGCTCTGACCGGCGCTGAGGCTGACCAATGAGAGAAGCGCACTGGGCAGCCGGGAGGGCGGGTCCAACCAATGAGCGCCGAAGGGGGCGGGGCGAGGCTGGGGGGCGGGGTTTGGAGGGTAGCGTGTGGAGGTTGCTATGGCCGTGGCTGCAGAGCGGCCGCGCCACGGACCAATGGGCGAGCGCGCCGGGGAGAACGGACGTGGCCGCCTTCCAATGGGAGAGCGGCGGGAGGCGGGGGCGGTGCCGGCGGCGGCGGCGCGCGGGGGGCGGAGGGCTCGGTGTGGCGCTAAAGGCGCGCGGCGAGCGGGCGGCGGGAGCTGCGGGGCACGGCGGCGGCGGCGGCGGCCGGGCGCGACCCAGGTGAGGCGGTGGCGGTGGCGGTGGTGGCTGTGGCGGCTGTGGCTGTGGTGGGCCCGGGCTGTGCGGGGCGGGGGGAGCTGCGGGAGGGGGGGCGCGCGGCCGGGCCCGCCCGCGGGGGGGTGGGGGTGGGGCGGGGGCGGCGGGCCCGGCACACAAAGGCTCCGTTGTGCGGCCCGCGCCGCCGCAGCATCCCCGCCGCATCCCCGCGCTCCCGGCCGCAGCGGTGCGGGGCGGCGCGGGGGCCATTTTCTGCCTCTCCCGCGCCGGCGGGGCGGGGCCGGGCGGGGGGCGCGCGCGGCCGCGCTATGGGGCGGGGGGTGTCGGGTCGGACGCGCCGCTCCCGGTGCCCCCCGGGCCGAGCCGCTCTGGCCGCCGCCTTTGTCCTGTGGTGGCGGCCCCGGCCCCTCCGTCCTTGGGGAGCGGCCGGGCGGGCCGCGGGGATCCGCTCCCGTCCCCGCCCCACGCCCCTTTGTGTGCAGGAGCCGCACATCTGTAGGGTTCCCCCCTTGCAGCCGCCGTGCGTCGGGAGCGCAGGATTCCTGCATGAGCAATGTGCTCGTTTGGGTGTTGGATTTGAATGCCATTGTTGGCAGCGCAGCCCTGCGTTCGGGTGAGCTGCGCCGCGCTTCCCTGCTGCACGGGGTCTTTTGTCATGGGCTCTGCGCATTTAAAAGCCGAAGTGGAAGAATGACCCCGAGCTGTGTGTGACCCTCGGTGCTCGGTGTGTGCGGCCTGGAGCCGGTCCGTGCCCTCATTCTGGTCCTCACCTCCGATTCTGCTGGGGAAGAGGAATGGTTGATTTAGTGGTGTGCCCTGTGCTTGACCTCCAGGTCTCACTGCATCTCCCTGTGCAGGGCTGCGGCCGAGCTCTGTGGTGCGTGTGTAGGGAGCTTCCCCAGGCTTGGCAGCGACGGTGTGTCGGGTCTTTGTTGGAATTTCAGCTGCGGTCTCGCACCGTGGAGACAAACGGCTTTCCGCACTGGGGCGGGAGGCTCGGCTGTTCGCTGCGGGGCTTCTTGAGCCCAGTGTGGCATCCCTTGACTCATGTGTTCATTATCCTGGCTGAGGAGCCCAGCTACCACCTCAGGTGTCCCCCCACCGATTCCCTTTTTCTTGGTGAATTGTTCTCTCCGAGGCTCCTCTAAAATACTTTAACTGTTGAGTCATCACCTCTGGGTTTGAATGAAGCCGGCTGTAGGAAACGGTCTGCTGCTCCTCAAACCTCCGAGGGCTTCGGTGGCTTTATGCTTACTTTACATTCAAGTTGAACAGTGTATCCAGTGTCCCTGTGTGGATGGAGACACAGCTATTGTGTGTAATTACACAGCCTCCTGAGCATGGGTGTGTTGTGGAGCTGCCATCAGGGCACATACCACACTGTGAGAGATGACGAGCCTGGTTTGCGAAACCTCCTCGCTTTTGAAGCTCCCCTCCAGGTTAGCTGCAGGAGGAGGCTCCATTAGCCAGTGTAACGTGCTTCAGAAGAAAACATCTAGTGTGTAAACCCCAGCATATTTAATAACCGGGGTACCCAGTGTCAGGCCTGACCTTGCCGCTCCTCAGGCGGTTACAGGTGAAACTGCTCACTTCAGGAATCCTGGATGTGACAGGAGCCCTAGCTCAAGGTGCAGTGGTGTCTCTTAGAGAGAGGCGAGCAGGTACAATGGGCGCGCAGGAGCAGCTGTCAGCAGTTTTTCTTTCTCCTTCAAATTGCCCATGAAGCTGTTGGCTAAAATCTAATGTCTGTCCTTGCCGTGTCTTGAGCCTCACGGTGCACTTGAGATCTGGAGATGTTCTCTGGGAATGGGGTGATGTCAGTGCTCCCAACCGAGAACAGGAGCAGGCTGTAGGAATACAGAGTGAAGCTTTTCAGGAAGACTGTGAGCAAGGTTTTGCTACCTCGTTGCCTCCTACCAAGTGGCTCAAGTTCTTGTCTGTAGTTGAAGATTCACATTTTAAAACATCTTCTTGCTGCCTTCTTGTTCCTGTAGCTATCCACTCAAAATCTTTAATGTTTTTATATCTATATTTGGCTTTTGAAGTGTTCAGTTGAAGTTGAGCTTACAAACAAGCTTTTGTTGGATTTGCTTTTCTTCCTATGGCACAGAAGACAAGTGTGTGTTTTTCCTCCTTGTAGCTCTTGCCTTTGTTGTACTGTCTCTCCCTGGTTGGTGTGTGATTAGAACCAGTTTATACTGAGTTTACTGTACTGGGTCTGGGGTTATACTTGACAGATCATGTTATCTTTTGTGTGGCAGTTGGTTTATTCAGAGGGCTGCTGTGTGAATAGGGATTCTCAGTTGTATAGCAACTTCTTTAGGCTGTGCAAGAAATGAATGATGCTTGGGGATAGATTATTTAATTGATGTGCCATAGCTTCAGTCATGTCCTTGGTAACAATATGGTCAGTAACATATCCTTTGCTTTTTCCCCCTTCAATTTACAGGGTAACTGAGTAGTGGACACCTTCCCTTCTGACCATGGCACAGAGGTCTGGACAGGAAGATCCCGAGAGATACCTCTTTGTGGACAGGGCTGTGATCTACAACCCTGCCACCCAGGCTGACTGGACTGCTAAAAAGTTGGTGTGGATCCCTTCTGAGCGCCATGGGTTTGAGGCAGCCAGCATCAAGGAGGAGAAAGGGGATGAAGTGTTGGTCGAACTGGCAGAGAATGGCAAGAAGGCACTAGTCAATAAAGACGATATTCAGAAGATGAATCCTCCCAAGTTCTCTAAAGTGGAAGACATGGCAGAATTAACCTGTTTAAATGAAGCCTCTGTATTGCATAATTTAAAGGATCGGTATTACTCTGGGCTCATCTATGTAAGTACTAATTATTGTATTCATTATGGTGTTAATTCAGCTGAACTGGAATGGTTCCCATTCCTTTACCTACTTAGAACAGAGGAAGTGGGTCTTGTCTCTCATTTTGATGGCCTAAATACTCATGTCCCTGGTGTTTAGGTTAGTGCAGGGTCTTTTTCCGTGCTGTGTACAGGTCAAGAACTCTGTTGTCAGAAAACAAATAATAAAAAATTCCTCTATGGAAATAATTCTGCAAGCATCTTTCAAAAATAGAATGCGAAATGGCAACTCTGGGTGCTGAGCTCATGCTGCTTGTTAGAGCGCTTGCCTCAGACATGTTCAACTGATACAGTGAATAGTATCAAATGGCTTGTTCGAGCTGAGGAGAGATTACAAAACCCAACTTTGCTGAATGACGGTTGTGTAATTGCTTGTATGAATAAGCATATGTCTTGTTTTAACTTGCTGTGTATTAAAAATGATAATAAGAGGCTCTGCTGTTATTTAAAAGCTGAAGCTCAAGAGTGCTAGGAATGCAAAATGTCTTTTTGGAATCTAATATCAACCTAGCGGGCCAGGAAAGAATGTGTTCAAGCTCTTAAAATAAACCAATAAGATAAAGCTTGCTTTTTTTTCCTGTGGTTTTGAAGTACTAATTGCAACATCTGCTTTATCACGGTCTTTCTATGGAGTCGGGGATGGCAACACCGTTGATGCTGCCTTTGACCCTGTCCCTTCCTTGGCCAATGTTAAATGAGTGTCTGTGCTGAGCAGTCCAGAGTTGCTCCTTGGCTCTTGGCAGAGCAGCTGCATAGTGACTCGTTGAGTCAGAGCATCAGTGAGAGCTACAAGCAGACTTTCTATCTTAAAAGAAACTGGAACATCTGCTTAAGTGCTTGGCTCATTTTAATAAACACTTGTTCTAAGGCTTAAACTCATTTGATTTAGTCCCACTAGTTAGTTGGCTCTGTTCCCCTCTGTCTGTCCCTGGGGTACTGGCTTTGCTTGGCCCTTGGTAATATTTGGACTTTTTATCAATTATGTGCAGCTCCAGAATATTCTTGGTATTTGTGATTTTTATTTTTTTTTTTTTGGGTGGTTTGCTTTGTGGGTTTGGGGTTTTTGCCCTTCCAAGGCCTTACTCCAAGACCCTTAAAGGAGAGCTCGGTGAAGAAATGCTTCTGGAGCGCTTCCTGCCAGCTTATCAGTAAACTAACAGGGTGATTAGTAAGGACTGGATTGAAAATGAAAAGTAAACAAGTTGATAGGTCGAAAGTGTTCAGTATATGTATCAATCATAATGCTAGTTGTGAAATTCATTACAACTATTACAACCGTGTTTGCATGATGAAGGTTAAAAGCTGAAGGCTGTAAATGTCAAAGCAAGCTGGATTGGAAGGACTCTGTGCAGTAAACATTGCCACAAGTGCTTCTGGAGGGGGCTGCTGTGAACTGTCCCCCTTCTGCATACCCAGGTTTGCAGCACTGTGTCACTCTGGGTGACTGAGAAATGAAACCTCTCCCTTGTGTGCAAGACTGGCTTATCCTATGCATGGTGTTCAGGTGACAC